AACAGGTCAAGCCTCTTAAGATCTTAAAATGTATAAAAGCACAGGCTGTCTCATTTTAATAAAGAAGAGGAGTTAACATCCTTCTTGATAAAGTAACATAAAACATTGATCTGCTTTTCATTTATTCCTAACTATCATTAATGCTTGAATCCTATCTAGTTAAGTAAGATATTATCATGTCTCAACTACGTTAACTATTAGAGCTAAACTGTGCACTGTTATTTGCTCTCCTAATTTACAATAGTAACAATGTCCAAGTATAACTATCACCTTTTTCAATATTATAAACAATTATATTTGCTATTATTTTAAAACTTTGATCATCTGAAATAGAAATATTAGTAATCTCAACTTGTGTTATAAGAAAAAATCCAGTACCAGGCTCAAGATTTTTAATTGATTTTATAACATATTCACTCAAGTCTTTTAGTGAAATTGATTCAATATTATTTTGAGTATTATCACCTAATGTAATATTTTTAACTGCTCTTTTGTTTGTTCTTTTAACCAAATAATCTGCATATATTTTATATATTTTTCCATTATGTACAAATGCTTTAGATAAACACTAATAGGAATAAGAGATACATTTTTCTGTCATTATAAGCGAAGCAACAAGATATATAGCATTGATTTTTTATTCAATAGATCTGTTTATTCAATAATAAAACTTAGTGACTTGAATCAAGTTAAAAAAAAAAACTCAATTTCTCTCTTATATAATAAATGTTTTGCAGAGTTTAAATTAAACTGTGATAACTCATCTACTAACTAAATTTGGTGATATCAAGATATTGTTATAAAAATCGAATAAATATTTCATGAAGTTTAAATTGAACTACGATAACTCATATACTAATTAAATTTGGTGATATCAAGACATTGTTAGAAAAATCTGATAAATAAGATTTTAGTAATCTTTATTATTGTTGTTATATTTTTAATTATTCACAGTATTAGATGTAAACTGCATCTGCTTTATATGTTTGTTTTGCATATTTATAAAACCTCTAGAATAAAAGTTCTGCGCCAAATTTTTTATCACTCTAAAAATTTTTATCATTATTTTTTTTTTTTAGTTAGTCTACTTCTTTAATAAATATGTTGTTTATTTAACCCTGAAATGAAGATACTATATTAGTATGTATGTTCAGAGTTATGTACATACATATGTATGTTCAAGTAAATACAATAAACTTTAAACTTTACAAAGCAATTTTGAATTATAATGTTCAATATTCAGTTCAAAAGATATAACTATGTATGCATTACTCTTGGCTTATATATATTTAAAAGCTTTTCATTATAATTGTATTTGGTAATTTTTGTTAACTAAAAATTTAAAGTGAAACATTTCCTGTTTATTTTATAGAACAATCCAATCTAATCATTTAACACAAAGGAAGATTAAAAATGTAATACAATAATTGTCTTTTAATAAAATTAATACTAACTTATAGTCTCTTTACATTATTAATTATAGCATGTTAATATTGTTTATGTATATTGTCTTATATACTTAATAAATTAAAAGAATATATAGCAATATATAGAATTTAACAAAATATAAAAGTATAGACTTTTCAACTTCAAGAAAAAGAGAAAAGTGTATTATACTTAAA